CCAGAGATTAAAAACCCTAGAAATTTCAGCGAAAGGGATGAATCATACCTCAAAGACTTGTTAGGGTTCACAATTTCGGCTTCACGAACTCAGAAAGCGCACTTTTCTCTGTGAACTCAGACGTGTACACATAGAAGGAACAAAATCGCTACAAATTAGAGAAGATATTGAAGAATAGGAGCAAATGTATTGCTTAAAACCTAAAATTTCAACCAAAACTCTAAAGAAAACAGAAAAGGAGGGAATAAATTACCGAATATTTGGCCTTAATATGGTTGCTTCCATATATATATCTCTCTCTCTCTTCTCTCTCTGGAATTTTCTTCTTTCTCTCGGCTGAAATAGAGAGGGGGAGGGAAGCTTATTTAAAAGACGGGGGATGACAGCGTAGCGTTCGACCGACGCGGATTTAGAAAGCGGGTCGGGGTTTAAACGGGTTTAGTTTATTAAATGGATGGCCGAGATGAGTTACTAATATATTGGACGGGGGCGCGTGGCGTAGAGCTTACGCAGGTCTCGAAATAGGATGCATTTTGAATTTCGGATCCGGATGTGGGGTTCGGGTCGGATATTTTTCCAGGCCCAAAGGGGAGAGCACAGGTTTAGGCCGGTTTTAGTTTCATTCTCTTACTAGTCCTGAACACCGTGCAAAGCACGACATTTAATTTTTTCTTGCTACAGTTATCCCGATTTTAATCTATTCTTTTATACAAATGGGAGAAACAAAGAGTCACTGTTCATGCTACAGTATATGCTACAGTAGATTTACTGTAGCAGTATTACTGTAGTAGCTGAGACATTTAAAAGCCACTGTAGCAGATCGGTTACTGTAGCAGCTCGGGAATTGCACTGTAGCAGGCGAGTTACTGTAGCACCCCAGAAAATTCAAACCGGGAGAGTTTAAAAACGGCGGGAACACTGTAGCAAAAAAAAAAAACACCGTGCTGCGCACGGGCTGCACACTAGTGCTACATTAACTTTTGAATCGCTACAGTTCCCTCCTCTGTTACAGTTTTTAAAAATTCTACAGTATTCCCGTGTACTATAGTATTATGGGGTTTCAATTTGGTCATCAGGAGCGAAAGCATGTTGCCCTGAAAGCCCAAAACAATGCTATTTGCATCAAAACACGTGACAGGGCATCCAGACCACCGTTTAAAGGGTTAAAAATTGATATTTCTAAATATACATTTTAGATGAAATGTTTAAGGACTGAACAAACAAAATCAGGGAAGGGGAAAATGCATGTATATATACATTTCAGAAAATGACCCCTAAACTAATCACTAAAGTAATAGAAAAGCTCCTTCCAACATGTAGTTCATCATTGAATCTCCGTATAGCGACGAGTCTTTGTCACAATAATACTTATGTCATATTGGATAAAACTCAAATACTTTGTATATTAGGTAAAATGACCTTAAGGGCACTAGTAAGACACATAAGGGCAACAAAAATAAGGCCCAAATGGGAAGGGTGCTCTCTTAACCAGGCTAGAGTTGGACCAGGTAGGGGGTGGTTCAACTCCGGCATGATTTTAAGGCTAAAAAGTAAACTAAAAAAAACTAGGTCAGATTTGGACCAAAAGTTGCCAAATAACAAGGCATGAACATCGGACCATGTTTAAACTTGGCCCGAATTTCAGTGACCTTTGCGCAAACAACCCCTAAGACTAGGATGGACGTAATACCATATGAGTGCCATCAACCAAGCCCATCGATGCAATCCTCTTAAGCCTTAACACTAGGGATTGGGCTTTTTGGATTTGGTTCTTCCAAGGGCCAAGCTGAGACAATATGTCAAAATTCCATGCAGGCCTAATTATTAAGCCAAAAAGTCCAAGTTTTAAGCGCGAAAATTCAGAAGTTACATGGCGTTTGGAATTTGTGTTCGATCCCGAACTAGTAGCCTTTGCCCTGAAAACTGGTAGGATCATTACCCTCTCAGACTCGAAATTCTATCTTCTTGGTGCGCACTCTGTTTTATGGCATTTTTCCCATTAAATATAAATTTTAAATTCAACTCAAATTCCAATAATTCTCCTTAACGTTTTTCCCCAAAACCCTAGAGTTTGTATTATTCATGGGTTTTCGAGGCTTTTTTTCTCCCCGACTTACTAGACACCAATCTCACTTCTTTATTTACTAAAGAGAAAACAAACAAAAAAACATCTCTAATAACATAACTTTCAAATAATAAGTGGATATAAAACTGCTCACCTACTTTCCAACTTCCGTAGGATACCACTGCCATTTCCCAAACTTCTCACGATACCACGATGTCAAACTACCCCTTTATGTCTCTCCTTCTCTCTCTCTCTCTCTCTATTCTTTTGAATTCCCCTAATCTCCATTCTCTCTTCGAACAACCAACCATAATCTAAACCAAAAATAATGGAGAGCTTCCACGCTTCATCATCATCTCCCCATCATCTTCATCGCCAACTTCACTTCTCCCCTCAACCGACCCAACACCAAACCCACAACCCACCAGCGCCTCCAACAACCTTACCAACAACAAAGGCGGCATCTTGAGTTCCTCAGAGCAGACAACCAACAACGATGCCGAGTTTGGGTTTCAGCGGGCCGAGATGGGCCAGGCACGTGGGCACGGTACAGATCTACGAGCGGCATTTCTTGCGATAAAGATTCAGATTTTACTAGCGATCAATCATGACTATTGAATGCTTGAATCAAAGTACCCTTATCGATCATCGGCCGAGGAAAAGGCCAAGATAGGACGCACATCCAGCCTCAGGTAATTTTTAAAATCTGTTTCTTTGAAAATTTATGATCTTAGATTTTTTTATATTCTTGATGATTCATCAATTGGATCTTGGATCTGTTGTAATTTTTGGCCAATGTCTGATTTTGTTGACTTGATTGATTCTTTTAGGACAACTAATTAGATTTATCCTGGATTTCCCTTACAACATCGACGAGCTCTTCTCCTCCGCCTGGAGATCCTGGACCCACTATCGAAAAAGAAACAAGGTTCTTGATCCCTTCTCTCTCGATTTTCTATTTATCTTATTTTAATCAAAGATCTCATATTTATTAAGCAAAATATCTAGCACCCTTTTCTCTTTCGATTTGATGCGGTCATTAGCGTTTTGATGCGGTCATGTAAATCAAAATTGGGTTTTATTAAGTTTGTGAATTTCTGATTTCATAAAAGAACCACATAATTTAAGATATCAAAATAAAATATGCCATCAACTAGACTATATAAATGTTACGTGCAGATAACACTTACTTTCTGAATGTTCTTTACAACTTTCTCATAAAAGTTAATACATAATTAGATATTAGGCGATGGGTGATTTAAAGGTGGAAAAGATAAATTACTCGACAACACATACACACCTCTCCAGCCTAACATAATTCTAAGTGGATCCATACATTCCTATTATTTGAGATTAAATATTATTGACATGAGTAAGTTTGCACTGCTGTTCAGTCTTCTATCCTCAGATTATTTCTTGACTCTAAATTATACTTTTTCTAATGGCAAACTTTCAAGTTGTCAAACTTAAATAAGCCAAAAAAATGCCTAAAAATCAAGATAGAAGCTCAAGACTCGAATGAAACATCATGTTAAAATATGTCACAAAATTGAAGAAGGCAATTACCATCAGGTCATTAGTGATCGCACGAGATTTTTTTCTATAGAGGTAAAACTTATTGTATATTTTTTTTACATAGATAGATTTGTCTAATAATTATGCACAATAAATGCTTTGGAATATCTATCATAAATGCCAAGCAAAAATTCATGTATTAAATACTTTTATGGTACATTTCTTTATTATTATTAGTATCTTGCCTTATAAAGTTATAGTCGTAATAATATTAGTTGGAAAGCATAATTTTTGTACTAAGTTTGTTAAATTTCCGATTTCCTGTCAATTTTATCTAAAATCGACACATATTAGATCTATTGCACACATCATAGGATTTGTTATTATCTATAATTGAGACATATTAGATCTGTTGCACACATCATAGTACATCTATCTAATTATTTATATCATTTAAATGTGCAAGTTACTATTTCTGGATATTGTGGGAAAGTATCTTAAGAAATATCAAACCCTATAGGAGATGAAAGAGGTTAGTTAATAAATGTGACATAATAATAATAACGTCATTTAAGTATTTAGGTTGTTATCTGTTGCTAAACAAATTTTACCCTGATCAACTCAGGCCCCAAATCCTTATGGATTTGCTCAGGACCCAAATCCTTATCTTGCTCAAGAGGCACAAAAATCCTTATGGATCAGCCCAAGCACCAAATCCTTATGAAGCTGAACAGGCATAAAATCCTTATGATTTAGCTCAAGCTCCAAATGCTTACGCATCAGCTCAGGCACCAAATGCTTACGCATCAGCTCAGGCACCTACTGTTGGTGGTAGTGCACGCCGATGAACATGCTTCTTATATTTTCATAAAAAAACAGTATCCAAGAATTTCGAAGGGTTCCTATTGATCATTCCTTGACCAATTTCTATCATCGTATATGGAGCTAGCTAATCCTGCACTGCCCTATAATTGTCAATACTGTCCTCTCACTACTAGAATATGGGGTTTTGACGACGGACTAATAGCAACGAAAATTTTCGTCGCTATAAGTCATGTTATAGCGACGAAAAATTCTGTCGCTATTATTCCGTCGGCAAAAAATTTTTGCCAACGGAAAAATCATGTTTAGCGACGGAACTTTTTTGTCTCCTTAACTTTACCAACAGAACTTTAGCGACGAAATTTCCATCGCTAAAAAACTTTTTAGCGACGGAAATTCCGTCGCTAAAGAAAATTGTTGGGAAAAAAATTTAAGCGCGGGCATGCCTAAAAAATTTGGGCAGCCCGCACCCGAGAGAGGATTTATCCCAAATCCCTCACTCATTTCTCATTCCCCCCCCCTCTCTCTCTCTCTCTCTCTCTTCATTCCCCCTCCCCTCTCCCCCTTCTCATTCTCTTCGCCGGCGCCGGACCCGCGCCGCCGCCGTCGCCGCTGCCTCCCTCTCTCTTTCTCTCCGCCAGTATCAACCATCTCCTCGTCTCCGGTCGAGACTCCATCCTTGAGTTCCAGAAGCTGCGAGATCTCACGTCAAATCGGACTTCGGGTCGAAGTCGGACCAGATACCCAAATCCGGATCCGATTACTCTCGGCACCGCCGAGATCTTCGGCACCGAGCTCCCTCCCGATACTTGGCTCTCCATTCCCCCCAGACACAAATTCGTTGTAATGTTAAAAAAACCCTCTCAATTCTATTATTTGCTTGTTTACCCCCTTTTTCTAGAGGGAAAAAAAATAAATTCTGATTTTCCCCCTAGGTTTTTATGTGGAATGGTGCGACTGTGGAATTGGAAGGCATCAGTGACGTTGAGTATGTTGCTGATGAGGTGATTTGCTTAAAGATTTGATCTTTTGTTTTTTGTTTGGGTTAATTTCACAAAACCGCCTTAAACTTTGGGGTGTTGTTCTTTAGAAAGAGGAAAAAATAAACTTGTAACTTTTGAAAAGAACTTTGGAGTTACGGAACTGAAACTGTAATATCATTTCGTGGAACATCACTGAAGTTCAGCATGATTTTGTAAAATTTGCCTTTTTTTCCTTTTTTTCCTTGGAATTTATTGTGTTTTCTCTAATTTTTTGTAGACTCCTATGGTTAGTTATGTAAATGTTCATGCGATACTCGATGCGCGAAGGTCCAGGGCTAAGGTTGCAGCAAGCAACGATGTGGGTAATTCACAGGTATTATAGTCGAATTTTTCTCAGAAATTGTTTTTTGGACACTTAAGACTGTCAACTGATTGGGAGTCTTCAGTCAATTTTGAGAAATCTGTGTTATTGATTTCAAAGATTAAATTCTTGTGTTTCAGGGTCCAAGGGGTGATTGTTGTAGGGCCGACTGATTCAGGAAAGAGTAGCCTGTGTAGGATGCTCTTGAGCTGGGCTAGTAAGTAGGGTTGGAAACCAACATTCGTGGATTTGGATATTGGTCAGGGGTCGATCACTATTCCTGGATGTATAGCTGCTACTCCCATCGAAATGCCTATAGACGCAGTCGAAGGGATTCCTCTTGAAATGCCATTAGTGTACTTCTATGGGCACATAACTCCTAGGTAAGGTTTTAACTTTTAACTTGTTTGTTTTATCGCGGTATATATTGCTCAGTATGATGCATTTTATAGGGTAAATCCCTCTGAACTATCATGAACTTTGAGGGGTTTGCACAAAACTACTATAAAACATTTTTATTAAATCAAACTATCATACACTTTCACAATTGTGGGAAAATACCATGAATTACTGGAAATTGTTGTTAGCGGCGTTATGTCTTGGACAAAGGTCTAAAATAAGCTTAATAATGTCTATCTACTCTAACCCGAAAAACTCTTTTGGTAAAGTAAAAAGTACATAAGAGCAAAATTTCTAAAGCACGTCTGGACCCTAACTACCATCAAGGCATGGTAGTTTAGTGTGGAAAAAAGTAAATGTTAATTTTCAGTAATTAAAGAAGTTCATGATAGTTTGGTGCAAAACCCACCCACCCCTGCAAACCCAATCGAAACATGTAATACATAAGAATATGCCATGATACTCTCTTAATTCTATACTTGCATGTCATGCCATGTTGTTAACGTTTGATTTATATTTGCAGGTTGGGACTTATATTTGCAGGTGGAACTGGTGATGAGGATGATGATGATGATGATCAGGAGGACTGATTTGTTTTTTTTATCTTTGAAAATAATGAATGAGTGTGTGCTGTATAAACAATATTTCATGGTGTGCTGTATAAACAATATTTATTATGTTGGGATATTTTTATTAAAATATTTGTGTTATATATACGTGAGAATGAATATTATACGGCTGATTGAATAGGGTTTTAAATTTATTATATTATAGTACAGGGTTTTTCAATTTTTAAAAATAATTTTTTTAAAATGTTATAGCGACGGATTTTTTTGTTTTTTTGTTTTTTTGTTTTTTTAAATAGTAGCAGGTGGAACTAATGTTTTTTTGTTTTTTTTTTTAAAATAGAGCGACGGATCAACCGTCGCTAATGTTCCATCACTGAAATTTAGCGACGGAAAATCCGTCGCCAAAGGTCATTTTAGCTACCCTCACTGTACTTACGATATTTTGGCGACGGGATTTTAATTTTTCCTTCGCTAAAGGTTTTAGCGACGGATTTTCGAGTTTTAGCGACGGATTTGTCCGTCGCTAAAAGTCCTGTTTCTAGTAGTGCTGGATGATTTTTTTGGCAAAAACTCACATAATTGTTATTAATCATCAGTGTGGAAGCTTATTGTCTTTCACCGCTAGCTGCGCTTAGTAGATTTTGGATGCTGCTTTTTAGTTTCTCACAATCTTTCTCCTATCTGAGCTTTTATAAGTGGTTGATTCGGCCATAAAGCTCAGAGTTGTGTGCTTCTAGATCAGAATCTTAGCTGATTTTATACTGGGACTACTGCCATATTGAAATGTGGGCTGTATGTAGTGACTAATATCTAAGAAATGACATGCATTGTTGTAATGTATCAGTTCTTTGTTTCCCTTTTTTTGCAAGATTAGGTATTCATTGTTTTGTTGCTAGCTATTGGCATATACTTTAAAATTTGGCCAGCGGGTTTAAGCTTGGGGTGCATGAGATTTTTATCTGACTTGCCATTTTCAGTAGGAATTGATGTTTCCATGGGAAGACTCTTAAAATTTCTTGATGAGACTGTCATTGTTACCTCTGTCTTTAGTTGGTGTTGTGGAACTGCAGTTTTTACTGCTAAGCTCATTGTTCTCATTTATATGGTTTCTACATATATAACTTCAGATTCCTAGAAGGAAACTTCTGCACCGTCAAACTGTTGATAAAAGTTGACGATTCTCGCATAATTAGAATATTGTAACTGCTAAATTCATTGGTATAATAAGCTATAACTTGTATGAATAAGCGTCCTCACGATGAATCGCCGGTTGAAACTTTTTCATCTACACTATTATTCCTTCAAAATGGATAACTTGAGGGGAAGGATTCATAAGGTAATTTTGTAGGTTCATATTAGTTAAAAGAAGAGTGAGTTTCATTACAATTTTACTTCTTAGTTTTGATATTAGTCCCTTAAATATTTCTTTTTTTTGAATTAGTCCCTTATATTGTTAAAACTGCTATTAGGTTCCCATATTATTAAAATTAAACCTTCACATTATTGAAATCGTTATTAGGCCACCAATTTGCAGAAAATCTTTTAGAAACCGTGCTTTGCACGGGTCTAAATACTAGTTAGTAGTGTATTCCCTAAACCCTAAAGGACAATCTTTTCCTCTTTTCATTCTATTGGTATTATTATTATTATTATTATTTATTGCTTAATTATTGCTGACTTTATTTCCAGTAAAAAACATCCTGCAGAATTGTAGGATTAAACATTTTTTTACTTTGAATTATCTATGTAGGCAATGCACTTTAAATATGTGCTAAAAAACATCCTGCAGAATTGTAGGATTAAACATTTTTTTACTTTGAATTATCTATGTAGGCAATGCACTTTAAATATGTGCTAAAAAACATCCTGCAGAATTGTAGGATTAAACATTTTTTTACTTTGAATTATCTATGTAGGCAATGCACTTTAAATATGTGCTAAAAAACATCCTGCAGAATTGTAGGATTAAACATTTTCCTTAATAAGTTTTTATAGATCTGTGCTTTCTGAATTGCTTCAACACGAAATAAGAGACCATGCATCTCTTCGACATATAAAACGTTCCAAATTCAATCTTACCCATCTTTGATTAAATCTATACTACATATAAAAGAGAAATGGGCTGTTAAAAACTTTTGATTGCCCTTTTTACCCATCTCAAATTTGACATTCCCACTTTAATCTCAAATTTGATATTCTCACTTTACTTTAATTAATTAACTTTTTTACCCTCTAATTAATTGCTTAATAATTTTTCTACCATGTCTTCTGATCTCTAATCTCTTTCATATTCCGTCGCATCTTGTCAAAAACATTTCTTCACTTCTTATATTCACCTTGCTCTTCTAATATAAAATATGTTCTATAATATTTTATCGCCTCTAATCAAGGGAAAACCTCTTCATCCACCGATCTCTAAGTTACATCTTCTTTCTATAATTTCATATTTTCCTTGTAGCATCTAAGGTTTTGGCTCTCTGTGTTTTTGTTGTTGGTCAATTAAGGAAGCACTGAAAGCAAGCCACCTCCTCTAATGTTGACAAAGATAGCAGCTTGATTTTATCTCCTCTCAAGCTCTCTCAGAAAATTGCCCAAATAACAAAACCCTAATCACTCTCTTCACTCTGCTCAAGATTCTGATTATTTCTCCTCTCAAGCTTCTGATTGATATATTAACAAAGCAGTGAGGGTGTCCCTTTATAGCCTCCATACCCCTATTTTGTCAACAAATCAAATCAAGCTGCCTCCCTCTCTTTGTCAACATGGCCACCGAAAGCAAGCCACCTCCTCTCTTTGCCAATGAAATCAAGCTGCCTTCCGGTGCTTCCTTAATTGACCAACAAGTCATGGACCTACTAAGTGCACCACATGTGACTAGTCAATATTGCATTTGACTCCTTAGAATTGTATTATAAATCATTTAACCACTCAATCAATATCTCATGCTACTAAATCTTGGGGTATCGATCACAATATCTCCACCAACATAACCACCGTCACCGACAACCCATCCCCAACTCCTCTGTTCTTCTCACTCACCTATGCGCCTACCGCTTGCCTTGATCCCTGTCGCTGCCGCTGCCTTGCATCCATTTGCAGCGCTGTCACTGACCTCTTTCGGTTCAGTGCCACCGCTCCTACCTTTGCTCTAGACCCTTGACCCTAAGGGCTGACTCCAAACATCCCGCGGCCCCGCGGGCCCCGCCTCGGCCGGAAACCCGGCGCCAAGTCCGGGCCTCCGCGGCGGGCCCGGGCCGGCCTCTTTTGTGCCCAGCCCGCGGCCCGGGCCACGCTCTTTTGATGCCCAGCCCGGGCCCGCGCTCGGCCCCGCGATAGTATGTATTTTTTATGTATTATATTATATATGCTATATATAAATATATATAATATGTATAATATATGTATATATAAGTATACTCTCTCTTATATATGTATACTCTCTCTTATATAATTTATTTCTATATATGTATAATATGTCATATGTGTGTGTATATATATACTCTCTCTTAGTATATAAGTATATATAAGTATACTCTCTCTTATATAAGTATATATATGTATAAGTATATATAAGTATACTTTCTCTTATATAAGTATATATATATATATATATAAGAATACTCTCTTTTATATATGTATAATGTATGTATGTATGTATATATATACTCTCTCTCTTAGTATATATGTATATATAAGTATACTCTCTCTTATATATGTATACTCCCTATTATATAAGTATACTCTTTTATATATGTGTGTGTGTATACTCTCTCTCTTAGTATATAAGTATAGTATATTACAACGGTTACTTCCCCATTGGCCCAACGAGCAACGGCTACAGGGTTACTTATGCGATTCTCTCTCTCTCTCTTAAATTATAACTTATAAATATATACAATATATTTACATATAATATATGTATATATAATATATAGTTACATAATAATTCGCAACTTATGCGCTTCTCTCTCTCTCAAGTTATAACTTATAAATATATACAATATATTTACATATAATATATGTATATATAATATATAGTTACATAATAATTTAGAAGTATATACTAATACATAATTATATAAAATATAATAATATTAAACTAATTTTTAGCATTTTTTTATCAAAAAAAAAGAAAAGAAATTTAAAAAAACCTAGGTGGGATGTACTTATCTATTGTGATGCGATGAATTCCAAAATAAATTTATACTTGTAATTTGTAAATAATTTATTAATTATTAATAAAGAATTTATTTTTATAATTTTTTATTTGTAATTTATGTCATTTTAAGTGATTAATAAAATTATTTTTTTTATTATTTTTTTGTCTTTTTTTATAATTTAAAACTTAAATAAAATTTGAAAAAAAAATTTAAAAAAAAAATTTAAAAAAAAAAGAAAAAACCCGGCCCGGCCCGGAACCCGGCCCGGGGTACCCGGGTCCGGGCCGGAACCCGGCCCGGGGTACCCGGGTCCGGGCTCCGGTTTTGCCCGGCCCGGGCCCGGATTTCCGGGCCGGGCCGGCCCGGATGGACAGGCCTACCTGCCGCCGCCTCCTTTAAGGTAAACCTCTTTTTTCATTAATTTTTTTTATTTTTCAGTTCTGATAATTTGATTTGTGGTGTTATAATTTCATAATTATGAATTAATTTTAACTGTAAACGTAAATATCCAAAATCTAACCCTAATAAAATTCACTCCTAATTATCCTTGATTTAAATCTGATTACCCCAATTTTAACCGTAAAACCTAAACTTGAATGAGTAACCCTAATTGACATAACCCTAATTTGGATTTCACATGTGCATGAAAACTACATATTTTTTTAGTGAAATCTTTGAAAGATACTTCTTTCAGGAAAGGTGGCAAATCTTTTTTTTTTTTTCAATATGTGCATTGCACGTGATGTGTGTTAAGAAACCATATGCTATGTACAATATTTGAAGAAAACTAAAATTTCACACACAACCAATATTATCATTATTTATAAAATTTGTACTTCATATATAATAAAGGCTAATTACATGACAATGGTATCGACACCTTATTTAGTCACGAATAGCTATTATAAAAATAGGCTTCATCTTGCAGATGCTTTAACCTCTTTAAGGTAAAGTATTA